GCACCTGTGTATGAACTTCCAGCATATTATACTGGACCGGTATATTATACTGGAACTCCAGTATATTATGCTGGAGTTCCAGTATACTTATGCTGCATCTCCACTATAATATGCTGGAGTTCCAGTATACTTATGCTGCATCTCCATTATAATATGCTGGAGTTCCAGTATACTTATGCTGGAACTCCGTTATAATATACTGGAGTTCCAGTATACTTATGCTGGAGTATTTTCCGAATTTTAAAAAGTGTTTTCGTTCAGATTTATTTTTGCATGAAAAGTGGCTAAATTTCGATTACTTTTGAAACTGTGTCTATTTTTGAATGATCACTTGTAAATCTGGCTATTTTTGAATTTCTGCCTAGATTGTTATGCCATAAAAGGGATATCAATTCGATAGATTAAAACAGATTGAGTCAAAGTTAAAGTAATGATTTTTACTTGGGAATGGACTGCACAAGTCCACAAATGTTACTTATAGCCTGTTTGGCCAAGTTTTTTTTGGGTCAAAAGTGCTTTTTTTGGGCTAAAATTTGGCCAAAAAATGAGGGTTTTGGCCAAGCTTTTTGAAGGAAAAAAGTGCTTTTGAGGAAAAGCAGAAGCAGTTTTTGAGAAGCAGAAAAATGTAGTTTCTCTCCAAAAGCATTTTTTTGAGAAGCACTTTTGAGAAAAATACACTTAGAAGCAGTTTTCAAGAGCTTGGCCAAACACTAATTACTGCTCAAAAGTGCTTTTCAAATTAATTAGTCAAACACAAATCGATTCTCACCAAAAGTACTTTTAGAAAAAGCACGTCTCAAAATAAGCAGATTTTAGAAGCTTGGCCAAACAGGCTATTACACCAAGTGGACAACATTTAGAAGTTGGTCACTTTTCAAAATTAGACCTGTGATCTAAATATTGTAATTCTGAAACTTCAGATCACAGATCCAATTTTGAATAAGTGATCAAATTCTAGATACAAGCGGACAAAAGTGGCTATTATGTAAATCAGCCCAAGTTGCAATACACATTCTAGTTCTAATTTGAAATTTTTACCTCCTATAGCAAAGGTTAACACCTTATTTATTTTAAATAAATACCATTTAAAAAAATTATATTCTATAGTTACCTTTTAACGTTTATAGCAAATATCTAATTTTGGTTAACTACTACTCCTAAGCCACTAAATACGCTATTCAATTACAATATTTTCTTTCTCTCTCTACTTTGATACAACTTTTACCTCAGATTTCTCACAATGAGCTCTCCAATTCCTTCACCCACCATCGCCATTAACTGAAGGATCAATTTATCAATAATTATTAACCAAACTAAATAATCTAATCCAGTTATTTGCAGAGAAAGGATTAAACCCTAAACTCTTCCATTCAATTACAATTGCAGAAGAAATCCTTACGTCTCCCTTACAATTCCAAGAATTTTCTGCCGTAACTTTCGTGTGCCCATCCTTCAAATCGTTTTCCTTCGGCTCTTCCTTTAACAAAGGCACACTTTCTGTTGACGGCGGACATGGCTTCCTGTTGTTGTTAGAAGGGAAACAAGCCATGGCTTCCTGTTGTTGTTGTTGCTTCTGACGTTATTGTTGCATCTGCTGCAATAGGAGTAGCTGGAAATTAGGGTTTGTTCTTGAACAAAGACGACGGATTTTGGGGCTGAGCAACTTGATTTTTTGTTAATATATTTCAATATTTTTTCAACGTATCACGCTGTATTTTCATGTATTTCATTGTATTCGTTGTCTTTTTTCATTGTAATTCAATGTATCTCGCTGTATTCCATGTATTTCATTGTATCCACTGTTTATTTTCTCATTGTATTTCAATGTATCCCGCTGTATTCTATGTATTTCATTGTATTCACTGTCTCGCTATATGCCATGAATGTATTCATATATTTTTTTAATTAATATAATTTATGTATTCAGATGTATTATATAATTTCTCTGAAGATTGCTATATTTTTGGGGTATTTTTCGGTTGAGAATCTTTTTTATAATTGAAAATACAAAATTTGTGTGTTAGAATTGAGTTTGTTGAGTTATATTAGGAGTCTATTGTGTTAATTGATTCACTTTCCGTTTTAAAAACAGTGTAATCCCCTATTTCACGCCGTGAATACAGTCGAATACAATAATCTGTCCAGCTGTAATCCCATGTTTCACTCCATGAATACAGTCGAATACACTCGAATACAACAACTGATTAGCTGGATTTCCCTGATTCACGCCTATTTTTGCTACTGTATTCATGAATACAATAACTTAAATACATCAAATACATCTTATAACCACAAGAAAGGTATCTATAATCCGTAATATAGCACATGGTATCTATAGATGGCTAATTACTACTAAAAGATAGTATTTTATGAAAATTTCTCTTATAATTTCTTGCTGAACTTGAAAGATTAACAGGAGTTAAACTCCAAAATCTACTTAATAACACTTTTAATTTGATAAAATCTGAAAAAAGAAAAGAAAAGAAAACAGAAACCAAAAAAAATTGTTCAATATGATCAAATTGCACCACCACAGCAACCCCCCCCCCCCCCCCCCGGACCCCAGCAAACACAGTGGGGAGTATCCAAAAGTGGAAAAACTACAACTCTCACCATTCTTCTAATACTTATTACCAGGAATTATTCAACATTATCTTCATAATCATCAGCAATCAAACTTATATTTTTCGAGCAAATAGCTTATGCAGATCTAATAGGATTCCAAGACAATCTATAGTTCCCTTTGGTGGAACTAAGGAGAATATTGAAGGCAAGAGATGGTTGCTCAAGTGATAGCACCTCTCACCTCCAACGGTTCGAGTCCCCAAGGGAGCATATATAAGTCAACATTTTTAAGTGGATTAAACTACCAACCATATTCATCTAAACATGTTGACATGCACAAAAAGCACCTTATAACTTCTTATACTACAATTATGTAGCCTTTGGGAGCATATCTACAACAACAATAACGAACCCAATGTAATACCTGTAGAAGTGGATTGTATGTGTTCAAATTTTGTTACTAGCATTATTTTCCCTTTAAGACAACAAGAAACACGCATTAATAACATCAGCTGATGTCTTAGGGCATCTCCAATCGTGCACTATTTTTTGCATCAAATCTAAATTTGGTGTAAAATTTGGTGTTTTTTTGCTCCAATGAAACACCAAATTTTGCACCATTTAGTGTGTGAATAGTGTCACATCAAATGTGGTGTGACACTGTTCATCAACACCAAATTTTTATTTTGCTCATCTTTTTATTTTTTTGGACTTTTAGTTTATCATATATTGTGTATATAATTAATTTTTATATTAAGATCTTTATAATTTTAATTTTATATCCTATTTTTTTGATATATTAATTTTTGGATATATTATATTTATATAAAATTATAAGTTAATTTTATTATTATTATTATTATTGTATAAAAAGAAATATAACCATTATTTAAAAATAAAAAATACAAATGTAAGATATCTAATGTTGCTAAACTTGAAAAGTGAAAACTAAAATTTAAAAAAAAAATTAACAATACATTAAAATTAAAAGTACATCAAAGGAGGATATATTAAAATTGAAATTACATTAAAAAAACATAAAACATAAGTTTAGTAATCCGGTATGTCATTTCCAGGTGCGCCAACAATGACATTAATGTTTTAGAATCATCACATTTATTCTCCAATCTCGCTAATGGTATTGCTCCTCCAGCCCGTTATGTTATTCAAGGAAAGAATATGACATCGGTTATTATTTAGCTGGCGGTATATATCCAAAATGGTCTACTATTGTGCAAACTATTCGGGAGCCGCGTTCAGCAAAGAAGAAATTTTTTGCAATGAAACAAGAATCATGTCGAAAAGATGTTGAACGTGCATTCGGAGTTTTGCAAATCTCGTTTTCCAATTGTTGCAGGTCCGTCACGTTTTTGGAGAAAAGAGGTGCTACGTGATATAATGACCACATGTATTATACTGCACAACACGATAATTGAGGACGAGCGTGATCTTAATGCACCAATTCAAGATGCACTTGAATGTCCAGCTCCTACGGTAGAAATGGCAGTAGATGAAGATCATCGATTTGAACAATTTTTAGCTCGACACAAAAAAATTAAGGATAAAGATGCGCATTTCGCACTTCATAATGCATTAATCGAGCATTTATGGGAGAATAGAGGCGAAAGTTGAATATTTATGTGGTACTTAAATTAAATTTGACTATGATGTAATGTTTATTTAATTATCTTTTATGAATGATTTCACTTTTAGTTGATTTATCCTTTAAAATAATTTTGTAATAAATGATTATATAAGTGGTGAATGTGAATTATATGTGATGAATATGGAAAAAAGAAAAAAGATAGAATTTGTTTGAAGGAAATAAAAAATAATATTTAAATAGAAGATAATAATATAATATAGAAGAGTGAGAAGAATATAAAAAGAAATATTCTTTTTTAGTGTAAAAAATGATGTAATGGTTGGAGTAAATTTGGTGTTACACCATTTTGGTGTGAAATTTGGTGTTAGGGTTGGAGATGGTCTAACCAAAGTAAAAACACAAATAATGTTTATAAGATTGATGTAAATTTGGTTTATTTTGGTCATTCTTGCAATACTTGTAAATTTAGGGCAAGGGCAACGGTGAACAAAGCATCCTGCGATCACGCAGAGTCCGGGAAGGGCCGCACCTCAAGGGGGTATAATATAGGCACCCTATCCTGACGCAAGTATCAGTGGCTAATTCAACAGCTCGAAATAATTAATGCAAAAGGACAGAGAAATAGAAATTCAAAAGCAAATTGTTTCTTCTAAGAAAGCTGATTTTAGAACTTTGATATAAGGATCGTTCAATTTGTGGCACTCTACACAGTTTCGGGTGAAAACCCCCATCACTTGGACCACAGTAGTATACACTTCTTTTAAAATAACGGGCTTGTGTGCGCCTGGACTATTCCACCGAGTATAACTATAGTACATATACATGATAATACTGCCGACCAAAATTTAAGTAGATTGGACTATAGTTCATTGGATCGTTTCTGATCGGCCAACAAAATTTTAGGCGATTCGAAGTCAATCGTCCCAATTCATGAAGATGGCGTGGACATTACATTAGCACACGAAAAATCGCCTAGTTTTTGAATCATACCAACATACAAGCACTGATTTGTGATTTCCAACATTGCCATTCTCTGGCAATGTTCTATATGTTACAACTAGACAAAATTACAGAATCCTCTAATACAGGTAGAGGAAAAGAAAAAGAAGAGCGAGTTAAGCAGGAGCAACAAGTGTCATTGATGATGACATCTGCTCGACCCGATCGACATGTCTTTGATCGATTTCAGGATGAGCTTTTCAAGTCCTTTCGCAGCTGGTCCTGGTCTTAGAACACTAGGATCACCCCATTCACCGCAAGGATCACTGAACCAATTTGAGCTACCTAAACACCAACCTCCAGGTGAGACCATACCCCGACCACGATTAAGAATGTGTGCATCAATCATGTCCAATAAGGGAGAATCTGCTGATATGTTTCCAACGAATGCAACGTCCCTTCTTAGTATTCTATCGGAATTTGAAGCTCTGAAGTTTGAAGGATTAGTGTTGTCCGAGTTAATGAATCGCAAGTTGGAGTTGATGACAGTGTCTGAAAACTCCTTAGTATTGCAAGCAAGAGTCTGAAAATATCCTTTATGAGAAGATCTAGTGTTCGAGAAGTATAGCAGGAGCAATCTTGGCAAATTTTCCCATCCTTGGATCGTGTACTCAACAAACTTCCTGTTCAGGATTACATGTTGAGAACCTGATGAATCAAGCAAGGTTTGGTCAAGAAAATGGAATTAGATTAACGTGTTATTAGAAAACACAACATGAAGGGAACCTATCTGAGAATCCAGAAACAACTTCTGGAGCACTCAAACAAATTATCAGAGAAGATTTTAGCCTTACTGAAGATATGACAAATGAATGATGCAACTTAGGACGAGAAAGACTGCATGGAGGCACCAACATTTTTTATTTTTTGAAGACCGAGAAATTCGTCCGGAGCCGACCCTTTGGGCCAACTACGGCCTCTGAAATGTGGGGATGATGGGCCCACCCCTCTACCCTTCTCCACTTAAATACCAGAGTTAGTTCGCATGGCGCATGGCTCGAGCCTGTGACCTAAGACACAAGCCCCTCAACTTTTGCCAATTGAGCTAACCCCTGGGAGCGGAGGCACCAACAACTATTTATGGAGTACATTTGGCAACAAAAGCCTAGCTTTGAATTCTTTCAGTTGTTTAGCAAACCAGAAAGTTCTAGAACTGCTTTCCCCATTAGCCAAATTATAAAGTAAGTCTTTTTTGAATAAACATCATACTGCCTGAATGTAACTTGAGAAACATGGTCAATGAGGATTAATACAGCTGATCCCAACTTGTTTGGCACCGAGGCATAATAGTTGTTGTTTGCATCTTTTTTTTTTTGATTTGCACCGGGTGTCCGAGTCTCTAAGAGCCCCGACTAATCCCGGGGGTGCACAGGCCCTCAGCAAGGAGTTTCCCGCAAGTGCACCACGGTTAATTCAGGTTTTACCCAGTCCGATGGTCCTCAGAAATTGTTTGCACCCAGTGGGTTTCGAACTTGAGACCTTGAAAGGGAGCAAACCCCAAGGCTCAAGTCTATTGCCACTAGGCCAACCCGGAGGGTTGTTGTTGTTTGCATCTATTCTATCAGAAATTTAAGCATCATGAGTCTTCTGCAAGTAACAGTCAAATTCAGTACCTAGATAAACACTTCAAAAAAGTTAATACTTAATACAGATATATCTCACATATAAACATGAATTTGTTTTTATCTTGATGAGGCATCTCAACTCAAGCGCAGATTGACTAACCATGTCAAGATAACTACTTAAAAACAAATGAATTTCCCATATTGAGAAAAACATTAATGCATATTGCATAGCATTCGCAGATTGGCAATCTCAGCTTCACCATCACTAGAGGAGGACAAACAACTAATTCAGACACAGAGAAACAGAAATCAATCTGGCGAAAGACTTACCCATAAAATATCTAAAAGCGCTAGGAAGTTCCCGTTTTTTGTCACCCACAAACATCTTTCCTTTTAATAGAATGTAGAGGCGAGAGTCAACGATAACTTCCACAGCCCTTTGATGTCTGAAAACAAAAACCAAACATTAGCATCTCTATATAATTGCAAAACAGCAAATAAGTTTGAAGGACTCCGAAGGTATAATATTACTTACTCCTCCGGGCTGGTATTCTTACTATATTCTATGAAATTCAAATTCCTCGGAACAAAAGACAGGATGTGGAGAAAATCTGCAAGAAATGTAACATTTAATGCATCAGCTCTAATATAGATGAAAAAACCTACAATTATTTTCAGGATGTGTAGACATCATTTCGGTATTATTGATGAACGCAAGACAGTTTTTATGTAAATAATGAAGTTAAAAACGCTATGAGACACCTCACTTTAAGTTTAATACAAATTTTGGGGAAGGCAAACAAAAGAACGAGAGCGCAGGCATGAGATAATGGCAGCCTTCTGAGAGATAGCATCAAGGGCACGAGTTCCATTCCACATCCCACGAGAAGGGACGAAACCAGAATAACATGCAGTATATACGAATAGTATCAGGAGTTGAAACAAGCTTGAGGAACTAGACTTTGATTAATCTGTTATGAAATGATAAGGAAGTGGCAATGACCCTAAAAGCTACTTACTGATGCCCGCAACATAACCAATAAAACTCATACGGAGTAATGACTCCACAAAGAAGAGAGTTGTGACATTTTGACACTTGAGACATCTTGTCTTAGTGATGAGACAATTAGAGGACTCTTCAATTCTTAACGATCAGTACCCGACTCTTTCTTATTTTTTGCAAGTATACATAACTGTCATTTGTCAGTACCTTTAGTAAACATGTCTGAATTGGGCCCAAGCTTGTGTCTTAGTGGGCAACTTACAGCATGCTTAGTTGTGGCTAGTGCTAGAAAATTAACTTAACTCTTCCATGTTCAAATATGGAAAGTGCATACAGTATATGGCAGCAAATTATTAGCCTTTAGAGGAATCAGTGCAAGATAGAAATGGATTATACCGTAAAAGGGATATACTTTTCGCTTTTAGAATGAGTAAAGAGGATTTACATAGCCGAATCGAACTCAACTAATTTGGAATTAAGGCTTAGTTGATCGAATGATTTATTCCTTTGTAATGTGATAAATGCAGCTTAACCATCAAATTGTTGGAGACTAAAAAATGCTCATGAGATTTGCTAACCCATGCTCGGCCTAATCAAACCTACAATACGTAACTGAATTAAACTTTAACAAGTTCTAATCAGCTTAATATTTTTCTGGTGATAGTGGTGTCTTGGCCAACTTGGGGCACCTCGAGTATTCCACATGGTACTTGCTATCTCCCACCAGCACATGTACCGGATAACTCTACCCTCCAAGTTTAGGCAGATGGAAAGAAATCATCTAGTATTTTTTTGCCTCTACCCAGGCTTAGGCAGATGGAAAGAAATCATCTAGTGTTTTTTGCCTCCACCGGGATTTGAACCTGAGCTCCTCCCACTCAATAGCCACTAGGCCACACCTTGGTGCTTCTAATCAGCTAAGTTATCTCAAAATCTAATACCTGTATGCTAAAATCTTCTAATCAGCCCTACCTTTCTGCAGTTTTGAGCAAATGCTAAAATCTCACCAAATTCTCTCCTCTTTTTTATTTCTTTTTTCTACGTTTTGCCAACTATCACTGTAAAAAATTTATAATATCAATGTATTTATATAAGTCGTACCAGATTATGAACCTTAATTTTCAAGTTACTGATATTTCTTGTTATGGACAGTTATCTATAATTTTTATTTAGGTGACATGATAGTATAAAAATTCTTTTACATTGTCAATATATAGAAGTTAAAATCATTGTTACAAGGGTTAGAATTAGATTGACACCTATGAAAGTTGAACTCTTGCCTACAGGCTTGAGCTTAAAAGCAGTTAGAGGAAAGCTCCAGTTGGGGTAATCATAGCTCTCAAGACTGTAGGCCTTTTTTTCATTAAATACTTTCTTACTACTCATATTCTATTTAAATTTAAAAGCATAAAATATAATAGAAGAATAGAATAAACATCGGATCGACATCTAGAATATTCACAGTTTTCTAGCTTAAAGTAGCAAACTAAAGCTATGGGATTCAGCAAAATCCACTAGTCTCAGCTCGAAATGGAAGTTTTTAAATTTACACTCCCTTGGATCCACTTTGTTTGGCACTAATTCTTAATTAGTCCTTTCCAAAAAGCAGAGGTGAATCCAAGATTTAAGCTTTATGGATTCAATAATATTTTTAAAGTTATAGGTACATATCAGCTATTTATTGCAATTGTGGTGAATTTTTACACATAAATTTATACTCCGCGTCGAAAATACAAGGTTCAGATGAATTCTGAACCTGGTATCCCTGAGCTACATCCGCCCCAAGCCAAAAAGAATGACAAATTCTTATATTTTTTGCTTCATTTTGTAGTCACACAAATGTTACCACGTATTTAAGACCACAAGTTTTCAAATGTCTTGTTCTTTTTTAGTATTAAATAAAATTTTGTGTCAAGTCAAACTAGGACGAACAAAAATAATAGACAATCAAATAAAAGCAAAAAGGTTACTCACCATCTTGAGGAATAAGGGGATAATCAGAAGCATCAAGATTAACAAACCAATCCCAATCATTCTTCCACCTCAACAAAGCAGCAGCACCATGAAGCACTAAACCCAAAGGACTCGACCCCTCTTGATTCACAGCATCAGCTTTTTCAATAACATTCACATTCTCAGCTGCAACAAACACATCAACAGAACCCACTTTCAGAGCAAGTTCTAATCTTTGTTTGTTAGAAGCAAATTGGTCAAGATGAAGTAAATAGTAGTTTCTTGGATGGTATACTGCTTGAAGTAATCTAAAGATTCTTGGGCCATCATTTTTAGTTCCAGTAATGAAGTAAGCTATTTTTGGTGGTGGTGAAAAGGGGTTTGAGAAAGTAGGAAACGGGGTTTGGGTGTGGTGGTGAAAGTGGTGAAGTGGAAGGAAGAGACAAATGAGGGAAATTGGGACAAGAGAGAAAAGGAGGATTTGTTTTAGAAAGAGAGACATAATAGAAATGAGGATTTTTGTGGGATTTGGACTATGGATTCAAAGGTTGTTTCTTGGTTTTTAGGAAGTCATTTTCATATGATAGTTTTGGATTTGGGTTGGGGGTTGGGGGGGGGGGGGGGGCACATAGTGGAAAGGTCCACGGAGTTTGATATTAATTTCATTGGTTCAATTGGTTCAAAGTTAGGTGTGACATTTTTCATTTGAGCTTTGTTTTTGTTGAACAAAGATCTTACTCAGACACTATCTTTGCATTGTTCTGTATAGAAACAGTATTGTAGATATATTGTTCATAAAATTGTGCATGATATTAATGATGGTTATTGATGTCTCAACTTGTGAGTAGTACCTTATATTCCAGTGATTTCATTCCGCCATTCAACACTAAGTGCAAGTATATTTTATTGTTTTTTTGCCTTCGAAACATAGATAAGTTGAGTGACTCGGCTGCTTGTCGAACAAATTAAGGTGATGTTTATTTGAATTTTTTTTTTAAAAAAAATGCAAATTTGTTTTTGAGTTTCTTCAAGGTGCTTGTTTGAGCTGATTTTGCTAAAAAAGTTCAATTCTTTTAAAGACTTCCAAACAAGTAGGACTTTTTGAATCCGTTGAACAACACTTGCTTCGGGATAGATGGGTGGAACAGAGGGCTCGTGGTACCTACCGTCCAACCTTCCACCACTGTTTTGAGAACCATGTAGATGGAGAGTGGGCAGAAGAGGAGGTCCTCATACGGAGACGCACACTTGAGCAGTGCGGGACACTGAGGAATGGATCGAATAAACTCCCCTAGGGCCGGAAAAGGGGAAAAAGAACATACGAAGCTTTACTTAGATAGGGCTCAATTTTGAACCAGAAATGAATTGATTTTTCTGGTTGCATAATATGAAAGATGAACCAAGGCACTACAGTGGAGCTAAGATGCTTCAGCAGAGAGATTCCACATCTTTACTCCTTCAGAAGCTTCAAGCTTACAGTGGAGCTGCCATTGACATTGGAATCTATAGTTCGAATTTCCTAGCAATTCTACATCAGGTTTCGTCGTCTGGACATGTCTCTGAGTCTACTTTAACTTGCTATATATCATATGCAGAAATGCCTTCAAGGCAATATGAACAGAGTTGAACAATAGTCAAACAATTCTTCTCAGATACATTTAGAAAAATAACACCACCAATGAAAAAAAAAGAGAGAAATTAACACTGGATGACCCCATTTCCTCTCTGTGCGGACTACTGTAATGTTGTTCATATATGTTCCCATAGTTTAGCACATCGTTAATAAGATCTATATTACATAGGAGACTTCAAAGTTCTCCCTTTAAATCATATCATGAATCTCCCTTTACGACATTAGAACTGGAGTAAGCCCCTCTCCTTTTTAGAAAACATAATTAAGAACCTTTGTGGACTGTAATGAGGCCTTCAACAACTGTATTCCTGCAAGGACATGTTGAAAAACTAGTTATTATCGTTGAATAAGAATGAAGAGAAAGCAAAAGCTGCACCAGATCAGGGTAACATTTCAATGCTAGTTAGGAACTACAACAGAAATGCCAGCAAATCAAGGAAGGTTTGTTATTTGACACAGGATAGGAAAGTGATGAGACAAATAAAAGTAAAGAAGATAATGACAAGTTTAAGGTAGCCTAGTGCTTTTAGAGGTGCTGTAGGCATTGCCTTTTTGAAAGAAGAGCAGATGTAACATTTTAATGTATGAAAAAATAGGGCCAAACAGGAGAAAACGTATAAGCCCACAAAAAAAGTCAGAGAGTCCGAAATAGGAACTGAAATATTGAACTAAACCAAAACATATCCCAAATCAGTGATCAGCTAGCCTATTCAAAACAAATACTGAACCAAAATAGTTCAAATGGACCAAACCGACCTAACTGAATACACTCTCCTACTCGTTATGCAGTCAATGTAGGAAAAATAATCGGACCAGGGGAATACAAATATGAGCACAAAATCTCTAATATGAAACATGGGTGAGATGCAGACCTGTGGCTTTTACAGAAACAAAAGAACATCGACACACTGTAGGCACCTCATATAAAGGAAAGGAAGAAGGTAGATCAAGGTTGGCAAAGGACACAATGGAACTGAGTTCAATAATCCTCTGCTCAACTATCGCAGTAACTGAGATTGGATAGAGAAGTTGAAAGAATAAAACCCGAAGAGAGGAAACCATTTTAAAGAGTAACAAAAAGGAAGAAAGGGCTTTCAGTAAATCAGGAAAAAACAAATGATATTATTATCACTGTCAAGAAGGTTGTAATTGTGCAAGAGAGCTAATAGGCGATAAAGATTGGGTAAAAAGGGAATGAAGGATAGTTTTGCAGGCATAACAAATAAAAAAAGTGGAACCTAATTACCTAAGACTGTAAATTAACTATACCGAACCAAACTCTCTGGTTATAGATGTGGGACATAGGTATCATTTCTGCCAAAGGTGGAAGACTAAATTTCTATTTTGGCGGAATACATAGACAACCCCTTAAACTTGACAGCATATTTCATTTAGACACTCGAACTAAGGCTTGTTCCAATTGAGCACCTGAACACATGATAAAGTATTCCTATTAAACACTTTAGGGGCTCAATCCTTTGAAAAGCTTCTGCACGTGTTCTAAAGCGCCCATTACGGGGATAAGTTAACCACTTAATATATGCCACCTCCTTTAATTATACATATCATATAAAAACCTTTGTTATAACAAACAAAACAAAACTCTAAAAAAGAACCCAACAACAACAACAACCCAGTAGAATCCCACAAGTGGGGTCTGGGGAGGGTAGTGTGTACGCAGACCTTACCCCTGCCTATGAAGGTAGAGAGGTTGTTTCCGAAAGACACTCGGCTCAAGAACGTAAAAAAAATGGAACAATAGAGAAACAATAGCAACCACAAGGTAAACAGACAATAGAAGCAAATAACACAACGAGTAATGACAGAGATCCAGGGATACGAAACTACAAGAATAGTACCAATCCTACTGCTAATACTGATATACCATATAGAAACAAGGGACTAGGAATAGGAAAGTACGCGACTAGTACTACTACTACTGGTAAGACAAGGCAAAACTCTAGACCGTCTATCAACCCACCGCTCTAATTTTCGACTTCCACACCTTTCTATCGAGAGTCATGTCCTCAAATCTCTAAAAAAGAGCCCAATTAATTAAAAATAATACCCGCCCGTTAAACAAAAGAGATGCTCCGCTAAAAAAGAAAATCAAGATCCATTTTCTCAAATCACCCCAAAAAAGAAAACCAAGTGTCTAATAGGAACACTTTATCGTGTGTTTAGGCTCAATTGGAACAGGCCTTAGTTCGAGTGTCTAAATGAAATATGCTGATAAGTTTTAGGGGTTGTCGATGTATTCTGCCTTCTACTTTTACACTATAGAATCTCACATGATGTTAAAGCCAGATGAACCTATTTAGACATACCTCATAAAGGTTAATTCATTTGTACTGAGGCAAATTCAATCAGGTCGTAGAGGATGAAGTATTGACAATACCATTTGTCCTAGGATTTCCGACTATTCTTTTCTTCAATGCCCGACTTTGAAAACCTTTGTCTAAGGACCTGCAGAACTTCCTCGATTTTTACTCCTCTAAGAGAAAGCAAAACCATGGCATGATACAAGACATCTGCCATCTCTGAGGCAGTCCGTCCTTTATCCTCATTTTCTTCCAGAGTTCGGCATAACTCGTCAGCCTCCTCCCTGCAAGAAATGAAGAAAATGTAATAACCATTGCCGAATTTAATACCAGAAATATACATGCTATAAGGGAGTAGGGAAAGCTATTTTTCTGAAGATCAGTCAATGATAAATCAAGAATGTCAAGCAAGATACCGAATTTTGGAGCAAAGCAACTTGTCATCAAGCAACAATCGCTTTGTCCACGAGGGTTTTCCACTTGAAGAACTAGATGTTTCTGCTTTCCTTTTGTTGATTGTAGATTCTAATGCGTATAAAGTCGTCATAGCCAGCTCATTTTTCTCAACCTAGCACAACTAATACATCTTAGGCAGGTTGAAATAGACCATTTTTCGGTAGAAGAAGCTGAACTATTTTCATTTTATTCATGAGATGATGAAAATATTTAAAACACAGAAGTCACAGAATGCGATGAACCTCGGGATTTTTCAGGATTTCATCAACTGAGGTGTAATAACATGTCTCTGACCCCGTGTGGCATGTTGGGCCATCAGGCTTCCCAAGATATATTATCTGGTAGGAAGTTTTGATTATCCTTTCAGTAAAAAGGCACATGCAATCAAAAGCATTCTAATTAAATTATCAAAAGGGATTCTAGAAATTTACAGAATCACGATCACAATCCAGAAAGACATCAAAAACATTGATAAAATTATTGGAGGTCTCTCCTTTTGTCCATAAAGATGACCGCGACCGGCTATAAAATGTTGCTTTACGTGATGAGATGGTTGTTGACAGAGCTTCTCTGTTGGCAAACCCTTGCATTAAGACTGCTCCTGTATCAACATTTTGGGCTATTGCAACTGCCAGGCCTTTGTCATCCCATTTGACATTATCTAGTAAGAAATCAACCTGAAGTACTGTTATCAGACAAGAGACAACAAGAGGCAAGGGAAAGGCGATATGACATGTTCATCCTTCCAGGACAATAAATAGAAGACATTTCAACTAGCCTTTGCAGGGAAGGTGTTGCATAATTCAAAGAGCAAGACACTGTACGTCACCAGAAGTACAGCATAAACCATCAGTGGCTAAGTGCAACAGAGAAAAACAAACACTTCAAGAGAGATCAAAGTGACAGATGAGAAGCTCATCGATTTATTTCTACTTTGCTAGTTTTTCTTTTCCAGGCATGTAAAATACTGGCACAGTGCACATTGTAGACACCTAGCTATGTCGATATCTAATAACTTATCATGTGTTCTGATGAACAATATGGTTGTCTAATGTTTCTAGCTAAACTATGATGTGCAACTAGCGTCCGAATGTAGCTCAATAATGAATGAACTATTGGGCCTAGATAAACACTTAAGAGAGATCAAAATGATAGACGAGGAACTAAACTATTATTTTTACTATCCTGGCCATTGTCTCCCAGACATGTAACAAATATCCACCACAATACGCACCTTATTATGTCTTACCTACAAATTAACTACAAAATCATTCATAGACAAGCTATACATAGATAATGGTAAACCAAGAAAACAAAGCTTGTGGCTTCTGTATCTACTGAATATCAAAATAGAACTAGTGCAAATATTGCTTCCTGAAAAAACTCCAAAAAAGAAACTTTGATAAACAATATTAGCACGTTGTTGCAGGCATACCTTTGCTCCAAGACTGATATCTTCATTTGATTTTTTCGTACATGCCACTACATTGTATCGTTTGAAGGTCTGAGTGCCGCTTGAACGAATAAGATTGCTTCTAGGGAAAACTTTCAGGGGTCGAAAGCAAGGAGAGTAAGAAATTGTCATCTTAAGATCTGATTACACTCGGAAATTGCTCGCCTCTTTACCAAGGGCGGCTCTAGGGTAAGGCAGGCGAAACCCTTCCCTAGGCCACCAATAATATTTAATTTATAATTCTATATTAGTTAATAAGAAGTTTCAAAATTTTATATTTTTTAAAAACGGAAAATATATTTGGCCAAACTAAGAATGGCCAAATGTCCAGAATGGGGGTATTATTATAACTTCGCACGGCTTTTGAGGGCATAATGGATATTTAAGCATTTTTGTTTTCCAGATATACCCTTTAGCAGATTTATTTTTTAATTTAATTTTTTCCCTCCAATTCTCTCTCATTAGTTTAATTGTCTTACCTTCCCTATGCTTCTTTCACATTTACACATGGATGTTACACTACTTTTCATAAAGCAATTTATACTCATATACATATATTATACCAATTAAACGAAATAAACTAAAATATACGCATAGTATACTAAAAAAATACGATTAAACAATTGTATTATAGTTTCTATATTACTGTATCACTAAAATAATATTTTATTACTTTCTAACCCTAACACTTAAATATATAGTGCTTCAACTAAGAAGCCACTACAACAAGTGTGATTTTCAACCACGAAAATATTAGCTACAATAGAAAATTTGTCACTAGTTATCCATTTTTTGTGACTAAAATTATATTTCGTATTTAAATACATGAGGCATATACTTTTAGTGACAAAACATAAATTTTATAGCAAAATTTGTCTACTAAAGTTTCCCACAAAAAAATGAATTGGCGCCAAATATTAATTAATATTAGCCACAAAATTAATATTATTGGTGATAAATTAGTTTCGTCACTAATGTTGTAGACAATTGGTGACAAATAATTGTTCGTCTTAAAATTAGTTATATTTTCGCTACAAAATAGTTTCCTCACTAAAAGTTTTATATTTTTTGCAACCTTAGTTTTTGTCACTAATAGCATAAACAAATTAGTGACGATCAGTGTATCATCTCTATTTTACCTATGAAATTATTAGGTAGCATATAAAGTTCTTCACTGTTATTATCTTTTTGGAACAAAAATTAGAGTCGTACTTAAATGCACATGCACATACATTTAGTGAAGAAACAAAAATTTCGTAGCGATAGTTTTATCTACTCAAGTTTTCCACCAAAAAAATGGATTGTCGCTAGTTATTTAGTAACATTAGTCACAATATCTAAAGTTACTGGTGACAAACTAGTTTCATCTGTAATATTGTAGGCAACTAGTCAAAATTATTATTTGTCTAAAATTAGTTATATTTTAGCGGTGAAAAAGCTTGGTGACTAAGAGGGTGTTTGGCTAAGCTTATAAGCTGGTCCACTTCCCACTAGGACTTAAAGTCTCTTTGTAGAGTCCCTATGCAACCGTTACACTTCCCAGTAGCCATATCCGCTCCTCCATGCGGACATTACACATCCTAGCAGCCCCTTTCACTCCTCCATGCATCTATTACACTTCCCAGTAGTCCCTTCCACTCCTTCATGCAACCATTACACTTCCCAGTAGTCAATTTCACTCCTCTATGCACCATTACACTCCTCCATGCAACCATTACTCTCCTCCATGACTACAATTAATTGTAGAAGCTTGTCTTTATCCATCCGCCTATACAGATTTTGAAGTTTTTTTTTTAACTTCTGCCATATAGTGGCAGTGCACTTCACATATTTTGGATTTTTTAAAATTTTTTTTTTACACTTCTACCATATAGTGAGAGTGCACTTCATAGGTTTTATCTCATAGTCTTAACCTTCATCTTGGTGGTTGAATTCTAATTAATAACGGATCGGTCTCCAAAATTTTGTAGTGGTAAATACAATTTTTGATTTTTCGTGTTGATTTTTCCACTTCTCTATGAGCAAAGTAATGTCGATTTTTAAACTTTAAAAAAAATAATCTTCCTAGTTTTGTTCTTGGTTGTAAAATGATAGAAAAGAATAGGGGGACTTCTGCACAAAATATATTGTTAAATGATTTCTCAATTTTAATTGGCTATTTTTAAACCAATAGTCTTCTTAAAATAAATAAATATAACAATAATAAATGGAAAAAATACAAACAATATTATAAAGAACAATCATATTAATCCATTACTTTGATCCACTTGAAGTTAGTAAATATAACTAAAGAGAAGAAATTATCAAGCTAAACATTAGTTTATCCTAGCACTTCAACAGAGAAGATCACAGCCCCTGATGTAGCCTGAGCTAGTTCCAAGAGAAGAACACCCCCTTTCTTCAGATTATTGTCGACAACAAATTATTTCCACCATTAACGAGTCTTCTCCGAACACCACTTGTGGAAGTCACAGCCCATTCCTTCCCATTATATCGAAGCATTGTTTTAACCGAAATAGGAGGAAGATAGCCAAAGATACTCTTTGGAAGAAACTGCAAGAACATAATGTAAAGATAAGGTTCATGCTTCATTGCTAGTTGGGATAATCAACAGTTATCAAATCATGAAAATATTATAAAAAAATTACCACATAATCACGCTTGATGTACGAAATGGGCACGTCCAACCGAAACCATGGATAGAATTCATCTTCAATCCATCCTCTAGCATTCATGTTTAGAGTATCTATTTTGTTTAAAGAGTTGGAAATGTCGTTCTTGTGTTTAAGAGATATATATAAAGACTCAAAACTTTCTATTCCCTCCAATCATATTTTACTTTTCCCCTTGTTTCCTCCGTAAAATTGTATTTGACTATTTAGTCCAAAAATGTCATCTTGTTTCCCTCCTAATAAAGTTCTAAAATTTAACATTATCT